CCAAGGAGTGAGCCGGTGTGTACCTGGACGCCCATCCCCGGACACAAAGAGCCACCAACGCACCGATGTCTGAGGGCGTCTGCCACCGGCAGGGGAAGTGGTGACTAAGGCAATTTTCACCAGGAAATAAAGTGCTTGTATTACTCCCTTCTTCTAGTGGCAAGGGACCGTCATGGTCACACTGCGAGTGGGGGATTTGGACTTTCAACTTAACCTCTTTAAAGCACGGAGAGAGGCTGAAACTGCTTCTCTAGTGAGTCTGGTAAGGGAAAGAGATGAGTTGGGGTAGGCGGTGCCAAATTCCACCACTCCCTCCATTGTGATAACCATCTCCAGAAAGTGGATGTTGCTGCATTGCAACAGCATTTTGCAGACTACTCTATTTCTCTTAAAATATAGAAGTCCCGACTGCTCGTCAGTTGGCACAATATAAATAAAACTGAATTGAATATGCCACTGTTGAAATGTGCACATACACACAGGAAGACAGAACCTTAGCTCAAACAAGAATAGGAAACATTTTTACTTGTAAAACTGTAACATTTGGTCTCGTGTTAAAAAGAGGAGCCCAATGCTACACATCGGGAAATCAGGGAATATCATTTTTGATTAGACAATGGTTTAAGTTAATGTTCAAATGATGGCTTTTTGTTTCACTTTATACATTTTGTTCTGCAGAAGAAAGGGTATACATGACAACACTATAGCCACAAATATCTCAGAGGATGAGGAAGTAACAACTCTAAATTATCATATTTTCACTTCCTGCCGTTTGACTTGGTGAAGGGCTTCCTGTGAGAGAAGACTTAGAGAATTGTTACACTATTTTAGGCAAACGTCTTGTCATCAGTTGGCTCATGAAGATTCTGAGAAACCAGAATTTATTAAATTAATTGAATCTCCAAGTCTGTGTATATATTTAACATCCCTTTAATTATGAGTTTTATTGTTGTCAAAATAAAACAAAAGGCACCAAATCTTTAGAATGACACCAGCAACCAAAGTTTTTTTGTTTTATATCTTAACAAAAAGCAAAACTAAGGATGTACAACTACAAACCTTTAACTATGAATTCGTAGGGCAGGCGTAATATACAATACTGTGCAAAAGTGTTAGGCAGGTGTGAAAAACTGTTATAAAGAAAGCTTTCAGAAATATAAATGACTGTTTATTGAACCCAAATGTATTCTGCAGCAGGACAACAACCCAAACACACAGCCACAGTCATTAAGAACGATCTTCTGCGTAAAGAACAAGACTGGAAGTGATGCTCTGGCCCCCACAGAGCCCTGATCCCAACATCATGGAGTGTGTCTGGGATTACATGAAGAGACAGAAGGATGTGAGGAAGCCTGCATCCACAGATCTGTGGTTAGTCCCCCAAGATGTTTGGAACAACCAACCAGCCGAGTTCCTTCAAAAGTGCAAGTGTACCTGGAAGAATTGATGCTGTTTTGAAGGCAAAGGGTGGTCACACTAAACACTGACTAGATGTAGATTTCTCTTTTGTTCCTTCACATTTTGTTAACTGATGAAAATAAACGATTAACACTTCCATTTTTGAAAATATTCTTTGCTTAAAGCAGTTCTTCTCACCTGCCTAAAACTTTTGCACAGTACAGTAGGTTCTTGCCATGGATACTATACGTAAATGGTAAATGGCCTGTATTTGTAAAGCGCTTTACTAGTCCCTAAGGACCCCAAAGCGCTTTACATATCCAGTCATCCACACATTCACACACTGGTGATGGCAGCTACATTGTAGCCACAGCCACCCTGGGGCGCACTGACAGAGGCGAGGCTGCCGGACACTGGCGCCACCGGGCCCTCTGACCACCACCAGTAGGCAACAGGTGAAGTGTCTTGCCCAAGGACACACGACCGAGACTGTATGTAAATCTAGATGGCCAGCAGTGGCAAGAATTAGTCTTGTGAGGACCTGAGAGGCTATGAGACCATGGCTGCTCTCGGCATTTTGCCCAAAATGAGAGCACCCAAGGAGTGAGAGTTATTCATGAGGTTGAGAGGTACTGGCCAGATATAATCGGGCTCACCTCAACGCGCGACTTGGATTCTGAAACCAGTCTCCTGTCTCAGTCTGGAGTTGTTTGGCGAGAGGTAGCGGGCGTCCTAATATCCTAGTATCCCCTCAGCTTGCTGCCTGTACATCGGGGTTTCTCCCGGTGAACGAGAGGGTTTGTTCCCTGCTCCTTCAGGTCAGTGAACGGGTCCCGATTGTCCTCTGTGCCTATACGCCTGAACAAACGTTTTGGATTACCCAGCGTTCTTGGGGTCCCTGGGTGGGGTGTGTGAGGGTGCTCTACCTGGAGACTATGTTGTCCTACTGGAAGACTTCAACACTCATGTGAGCAATGACAGTGAGACCACGAGGGAGTGTAACTGCATGGTTCTTACTCAGTTTCTAAAAATAAAATTGTTACTAGGCTAAAATATAACACTAAAACATTTTGAGGTGTAATGACAGCCCTTTTTAGCTGTGAAATCGTGTTTCCCAGTAACAATCGACACACTCAGACCTCTGTTGTATAAACACGAGGAGTATGGTGGCACAGTGGGTAGCACTGTTGTGTCAGAGCAAGAAAGTCCTGAGCTAGAATCCAGCATCTGGGCGAGACCTCGGGGTCACATGTGGTGTAACACACGATCAATAGTGCAAGCCATACATAAGCTAAGATTAGAAAAAAGAAAAGGGGGAAGAAAAAACATGCGTCAAACATCTATTTGACATCTATTTCACAAGCAACTATTTACAGTTACCAGGGTCTCCAAGGCCAAAAATAAACAAAGCCCACTCTTCCTGGAAATAAAAGAAATCATTACACTCTGGAGCAAAACCATCCATCCAAAAGTCTCGTTCCCGTTGGGCTCCGCCAGAGTGAAACCAAAGAAGAAAAATACCAGACACTTTCCAGATGGTATCAGGTCCCCATACTTATTTTTTTACTGCATTTTATAATTCCATCAATTTTAACAAAATCCTGAAGACCATTCACTGCAATGCAGCCCCAATGAGTCTCCATTGTGTTTCACAGATGGCTGTAGACACTCATTACCTCTCCTTTGTTGGGGAGTTCAACCAAAAATTTCACATTTGGTTCATATGAACTGTTGCTACTTTAAGCCTAGCCAGTTCCTGTTTGCTTTTGCAACCTTTTCTCCCAGTTTACCCATATCAGCTTCTTCACACCCACTCTTCCACTCAGACCTTTTCTGAAGAGTCTTTGGAAATAGCTGAAGGGCCAGATTGCTGGATTTTCTTTTATCCTATTTCTTGAGAACATGACTTCCATATACTGGAATACTGGATACTGCTAATATGCTGTAAATTGTTTTTTGGACCTTTCAATTGTATAGGAATTTCTTTCACTTAGGTATTAATCACATTATTTTATTGTATTAACATGTCTGACACTCATACTGAAAGACAAATGGTGGGGATCTAGTAAGGAAGCAGACGACTCCACAGGACCAGGGTCTTTTGTCTCTTCGAGGACTCTGGGAAGTAGCAAGGGAGTGTGAACCTTAAGGTGTGAAACAGCTGTGTACTGCCTTTTGTTCCCGAAGAAGGTTTAACTGAGAGCCATGCTAGGCTCAGAGAGACTCTGCTGACCCTGCCCCATGGTCATGTAGGCTCTCCATCAAGCTTGGTTGTCTGTTCTTTGTGTGTTTGGATTAAAGAATGTTAGCTACCGCTCACCGCTCGTCTGCAGGCTTTATTTAAATGGAAAACTTCCACAACACACTTCTTTTGTCCCGGTTACCTCAGTTTAAGGTCGCATTGCACGCCATAATGAGCCGAGGTTTATAACAGCCAGGTAATATGCTTTACAAAGTCATCCAGACCTGCAGCCTTTCGCTCCTTGAGCTTTCACAGCTCACTCCTCACCTGAAGTGTTGAAAGCAACAGTATGGTGGGGGAGGAGTACACACACTAACACTTTGTAAATAAACGATAACTTAATAACTAATTATTCTGTTATTTATTTGTTGACAATAAAATGAAAAAAGAATGAATTATGTACAGCTGATAAGATAACAATTACATTCTGATGAGATAAAAACATTTTTTGTATTAAAGCAATTTTAAAAAAAGCACAACAAGCATCTGTTGTCTGCATAATGTGAGGCTGCCACACAACATAAGAAACATTATTAAAACATGACCCCAGAACATTACATATAAGTGCAGTGGTAATCTTTGTGCAAGTAAAACGTTTACAGTGAACATATTTTAATCAAAACAAATACTTTGCTGAACCTATGAGTGAACACACAAAATTAAAATAATTACAAAACACCACGCTCCCAAATGGTACATGAATACGAGGACTTTCACACTGGAACATTTGCTCTTTACCTCCAATGTTGCCATGACCATTGCTAGACTACACCTTGTGCTGATCTTAACAACAGTATTTGACATCCTGGGAAAGAAAGTGGGTCCTGTGAGTCCCTTGTGCAACTGAGGGTAATTTGAACCCCGTGAAGGCCAGCAACAACAAAAGCTACTAGTTATTAGGAGGTCAACTGTTGAACATGCTTAATCCTTTCTGGTGTTTTACAGATCACAATAGAAGAGAAGCAGCAAGGACCACAGAGCTTCATTCACACAAAACGTTTTCATGTGTAAGAATCTGATAAAACATTTTCATGGTGAAGACTGAGAATAATTGAACTGTTACACAATAATGTTGCACAAAACGCAGATGTTAGTTTGCTGTTTACAGTTTGAGCTGCAGCTTGCATCCAGATTTACATGCACTGTTTAAAACAAAACTAAAGAAATTTAGCAAATATAGACTTAAACTTCGTCCCTATAACAGCCAGCAACACATTTACGACTGTCTGCTCCGAGAACACAGCAACACAGAGTTGGAACAACAGCATCTTAAATCACTTAATTTAAATAATCAATGTCTGTTGTTTCAGAATCTCCCAGCACTGTGTCACCTCCAGAACGGTATACTGACCTTTAGGAAGACTTAAACAGGCTAAGAAACAGTGATGGGGTAAAGTCAGTACACCTCACCACACACTCAACCACATCTTGAACTGAATCACAACCATTAACCAAAGTTTACTCTGTGATTCAGCTTCATGGTTTTTATATTTTCTGGTTTAAAGTCATGATTGTACTGAAGTATTCAGTGGTGTCCAGCTTCGAGATCATCCCTCATTGGAGACCCGGTTTGCCTCGCAGGTTGCCCTAATGTCAGTGTTCTGCAGCCCCCTGCTCTGAACACTGGCAGCCTGTCAGGGTGCATTCCCCTTGGCTCAGCTGCCATACAGAGATCGGATTATGCACCTTGCTGTTGCAACAAAACGACTACTTTCTTTTCCTCATGTTGGTCTCCAAGTGGCCCAGCTTCTCATAGCACTGGTAGAAGACTTCCAGCTCCGAGCCCCAGGCCCTCCAGACACACAGGCACCACTCCATGTTTTCCTTCTGAAAACCACACACGACTGTGTCCTTTGCCACGAGCGCTGCTTCCCTCAGGATTCTGAGAGAAAGAGAGAGGAGGAAGTGACACAGTGTACAGTGTGTGGGAAGGGAGATAAAGTCATTTATTTGACCTCCTACTGAACTTTAAGTGTTCATGTTCAGATTCAAGCTCCACAGATTGCGCTTGCTTTGTTTTAATACACTTCCCATACTTTCATTATCTGCCATATTTGGTTTGTGAAGCAGTTTATAAGTTGGCTGTATGAAAGCCTTCTTGTAAAGCTATAATTGTGCTTCTAAGGCTGATAAACCTTTTTTTGACTGGTTGAGATGTAATCCAAATTACACATCTGACAAAGCTGAAAAATAACCGGTAGGTAACAGTTTAATCAACAGAATTCATCAATAATCAGTGAGACAAAATGAATAAACGGTGGATTTCTAAGGTTGGTTTAACCATGTTTGGCAGAAAAGAACTATGTATCTGAAAAAAGAATAAACTAGTTAAAAAAGTAAATAATA